ATTATGACAAAAAGGGGGTGAAAATAAGATTTTAATCTAATCCATGAAACAGTTATGGGATTAAGTCTCAAACAATTCTAAAGATATACAAAGTTATTTTCTGTTTAAGAGATTTACAGAAACTCTGAAAGACTAAGCTCTGAACATCATCAAGAAAAGAATTGCTAAAGCAAACTCTGAAAAAAAAAAAGTCTAAAAGCTCTGAAGAACAAATCTCAGGAAGTTTCCCTTATGCCTTTAAACTCTTTAATCATTTTTATGTCAGAAGAAGAAATATCAATCTCAAGGGGAGATTATCTATCTCAAGAGGAGATCCTCATACTTGCATAAAAAAAATTTCTCAAAATCTGAATTGTTTTGTCATCATCAAAAAGAGGAAGATTGTTAGAACAAAGTTTGATTCTAATCATATCTTAGAGTTTTGATGATAAGAATGAAATAAATTTTATTATACTAGAATCATATGTTATATGTGAAGGATGTAGGCGACCGTATTATCAGTAGTTGAGACAGGACAATAAATGCGTGAGATGGTACATTAAGATATCACATCTCTACTTGATTCTAACATCTTAAGGACACCCTTCAGTACCAACTGAAGAGAAAACTTTAGCATAAGAACTAAAATGCAAAACAGAGTTCAAAAGTTCACGATGTAATCTAGAAGTTTCTAATGAAGGCTAAAAATGGCTTGCGACGGAAGAGTTCGTGTGCTACATAGTAGAATTTATTTTGTTTAGGATATATTGGTATTATGTATTTGGACACGATACTATCTATCATATATTTGAGTTATAATATTCTTTTTTTATATCATATTATGATCATTGTTTATGTTTATGTAATTTAAAAGAATATTATGATCATTGTTTATGTTTATGTAATTTAAAAGAACAAATATCAATCAAATATGTGTTTTGCATGTTTTGGATTTCATAATCTAAATCCATGTTGAGAGGTGTTTTGTATTTTATAGTTTGAAAGTTGTTAAGCCATTGATATCTGAATGATCTAAATTGTACGTACATTTTTCGTTGACTAGAATGTGCAAGAATTTGTATAAAATGGTATGTTTGATTTTTTATAATTTATATCAAAAAAACAACGAACTTTTCATATCCATATCATTTAAAATGAATTTTAACTTAACTGCAATTTACTATAAAAAAAGAGAGTTCCTCCTTGTTTTTTTAGAATCAATGACAATGTTACACTACTTGATCTAAAGGATTAAATGAATTGTCGTCTCAACCACAATACACAATACAAGAGGGATGATTAGTATTGAGTATCGGTCTTCCGTTAATGGAAATGATGGTAGTGTTCAGTTCACAAATATGCAACTTTAAATAATGTGAAAACCATATACTCAGAATTTGATTATTATTGTATCAAGAGACCGATCAATTAGACATTACCTTAGTAATATTTGTTTGTACTACCTGTGTTTTAGAGGTTACTTCATATTTATCATGTTTTAGATTCAAAATTTCAAAAGGTTAAAAATACGTTGCAGATTCTATAATTTGAAAGATGTGCCGACCATTTATGATACATTTATGATACGAATGGTTTTAGATAAGAGTTCTGTTGACAAACTTACAAAAAAGACACAAAAACAAACTTCAAGAATGAAGGCCGTCCAATGCTTTTAAAATCACATATAACAAAAGATATAAGAAAATGAGTTCAATGGTAACGCACTTTCCAATAGAAATATTCACTCTCTCATATCATGTAAATATTTTAAAAATTCTAGTCAGACTTGATGAAGTATATGATCGTTATTGGTTAAAAATATAAAATTAATTTATATTATCAGTTCATTGTCTTTTTTTTCTATAAAAAAATAGCTTGCAAAAAATAAACAAACAAGTGTGCGCATAAATTTCAACGAAATCATCTTATTTTAACGGGATAAAAATAAGCTAGCCATTATGAATAGATTATTTAGCTCAAGTGACATTTATCACTATGGACCAAAATCATTGGAGTCATCGCTCATTCTTCCATACTGAAAGGATTGCAGCCAAGAAAAAGATTATTAGTGATAAATACTTAAGTCCTAGTACCTCGCTGCTGCAACCTTAAAGGCTTACTCACATATGATAGATGATAATGTTCCACACAATTTATTGAACAGGCTATTTTATTTTACAGAAACAAATGGTTTCTTTGCATATTAGTCTTCGTACTCAAACTTTTGTTTTCTGTTATGCAATAGGAACCATTTGCATCTTCCAAATAATCTATCTTGCGAACTCACTATCATTTGATTACCCCTACTTTAAGAATGGTGATGTCAATTGGGAAGGAGATGCTTCTCCTTATAAAGGTGCTATTCAAATCACTTCCAACACCCTTGATCAAAACAACAATTACAGTGTCGGGCGAGTCACGAGTTTTAAACAGATGCATCTCTGGGATTTGAAGTCTGGAAACCTTTCTGACTTCACCACCAATTTTTCCTTTGTTATTTTTTCAAACACACAAAATTATGGAGATGGAATGGTATTCTTCATGGCTGATCCAAATCTTCCAGTTTTGAAGAATATCAAAGAAGGTGGCGGTCTTGGCCTTGTGGATGCAGACCAAGTACTAAAATCAACTCAACATTCATTTGTGGCAGTGGAGTTTGACACTTTCAATAATCCATCATGGGACCCTTCAGGTGAAGGCACTCATGTTGGTTTGAATTTCAACTCTATGAGATCTAATATAACTAAACCATGGTTGACAAATATTCTTAAATGGAAAGTTTACAATTGCAGCATTGAGTACAATTCCGACACTTTTAATTTGAGTGTATCATTCACCATGTATGATGATGATGAGGATAAACCAGTTGAAGGGTACATATCACACAAGGTTGATTTGAGAGATTTATTACCAGAGAGGGTTATTGTTGGCTTCTCTGCTGCAACAGGAAGATTGTACGAGGTGCATACTCTTAGATCATGGTCATTTCATTCAAGTCTATTCAGTGATGAGACCAGATATCAGATAATGGCCCCAATTCCCAGTCCTATAATTTCTGAAAAAGAAAACAAGATAGGATTGAAGGTAGGGCTTGGAATTGGTACAGGATTGGCTGTGAGTTTATCAGGGATGGTTTGTATACTATTATGGAAGAGTAGGGGAAGAAAAAAAGAGTTTAGTTTTGATCTTGACATGGATGATGAATTCCAAAAGGGCTCTGGACCCAAGAGGTTTTCCTACAATAAACTAGTGAGTGCAACAAATAAATTTTCAGAGTCAGATAAGGTGGGGCAAGGTGGTTTTGGTGGTGTATACAAAGGTTATTTGAAAGGCATGAACTCCTACGTTGCTATCAAGAGGATATCAAGAGGATCTAGACAGGGAATACTAGAATATGCGACTGAAGTGAAGGTCATAAGTCAACTGAGACACAGGAATCTAGTACAACTTCTAGGTTGGTGCCACAAGAAGAATGATTTTCTTCTTATATATGAGTTCATGTCAAATGGAAGCTTAGATTCTCATTTGTATGGTAAAAAAAGCTTCTTGACATGGACGGCGAGGTATAACATTGCATTGGGCCTGGCTTCAGCATTGCTTTATTTACAGGAAGAATGGGAGCAGTGTGTGCTTCACAGGGACATTAAATCAAGCAACATTATGTTGGATTCATGTTTCAATACTAAGCTTGGTGATTTTGGTTTAGCTAGGCTTGTGGATCATGAGAAAGGGTCACAAACCACACTTATAGCTGGAACAAGGGGTTATATTGCCCCTGAATATTTCACATCAGGAAAAGCTACTAAGGAATCTGATATATACAGCTTTGGGGTAGTGTTATTGGAAATAGTCACCGGAAGGAAAGCTATTGAAAGAGAAGAAAAGGAGGGTCAAATAAGTGTTGTTGAGTGGGTTTGGGAGCTCTATGGATTTGGAAAGTTCCTTGAAGCAGCTGACCCTAGGTTAGGTGGGGCATTTGATGAGCAGCAATTGGAACGTTTGGTGATCGTTGGCCTTTGGTGTGCTCATCCAGATTACTTATTTAGACCTTCTATAAGACAAGTGATTCATGTTCTCAAATTTGAGTCTTCTCTGCCAATTCTCCCAGAAAAAATGCCTGTGCCAACCTATCTTCCTCCAACAATAAAAGCACTTTTTTCTTCAGTTTCATCCACCTATTGGACAAATAGTTAGAAATAGGCAGAGTGTAACAATCATTGGAGAACTATTTGCATATAGGAGCAAAAAATGTAACATTACTATTTGCAACATATATGTTCAATTTCTTATTTCCTGAGCAAATATGCATACAAATGACAAATGTATCTATTACCAAAAATCATGTTATATACCACTCTTACTTTTTCTTTTAAAAACAACGATGACACTGCATATCAATATCAGCTTGCTAAATGCTACACGAGCTCAGTTCTGTCTAAGAAAACACTGTCAAAAAACATTCATACATAATTCGAATGTTGCATTGCTAATGTGAGATGACTAAAAAATCTTCCTCGGACTGGTTGAACTACTATTGTATACATGGGAAGCATGGGTGGCTTTTGAGAGAGATGGTGTGACAAGTGTCCTAAATGATTATGAAGTCTGGTAACTTGTGCTAAGGGCAACATTGCAAAATGACATAGGATGTTTAAGGACTTTATTTGACATCCTTAACCTTGGCCAAAAGACAAAACATGTTCATCTATTTCTAAAATGCTACATCCTGCATGAAGCAATTTAATTTTATATTTTGGTTGTCCATATATTTTATTTTCTGAATGTTTCTGTTATCCAACCCAACATAGTTTGTTCCTAAGTAGGATATGACAACTTAAAATGTTGTTGTACGTTAACTCTTGTGAGCATTATTGTTATCCCTCATGCATAGTATCAGTCAACAACAGTTGCGGATGTACAAAATCTAGACATATACTATGTAACAATTAAAATTCATAATCTACATAGGAAAGGAAGTTAGATAAATGACAAAGAGAGAACAGTAAATAATTACGTAGTACATGAAACTAAACAACTCTGACATTGCTAAGTTAGACAAATGGTTCCTAAATTCTGTTAGGCAAGGGGAACAATTTTTGCTCTTTCTGATAGTTCCTCTTGCACATGCTCACTTTGTGTCTTTTGATTACCCTATGTTTAGTCACGATTGTAAAGAGCCGCCAGAGCTCGATGGAGATGCCAATATTGAAGATTCGAACAATCTTATCCGGCTCACTGGGTACCCTGATGACCCAGATAAGGCTTCTGGCGTTGGTAGAGTCACAATTCCCAAACTTATCAAACTCTATGACACAAATGCAAATCAAGTGTATGACTTTACAACCAAGTTTTCCTTTACTATATTTTCAAATCACAGTATTCATGGAGATGGTTTGGCATTCTTCCTTGCAAGTTCAGATCTTCCAAAAGCAAATCATGTAGGTAATGGAGGAGGTTTTGGTCTGGTACCTACAAGCAAAGTTGCTTTAAACTCAACTGAGTATTCATTTGTGTCAGTGGAGTTCGACGCGTTCCAAAATTATTGGGACCCAGGGTTCAACCATGTGGGAGTGAATATCAATTCTGTGGTCTCCGATACATACATTAAATGGTCTCCGGATGTTTCAGAAAGGATAGCTTACAATTGTAGCATTGAATACAGTTCCAAAAGCAATAATCTAAATGTTTATATCACTGGATACAGATTGAATGAAGGGCAAGAGACACAAACCTTTTCACACATCATTGGTTTGAGAGAGCACTTACCAGACTATGTTATTGTTGGCATATCAGCTTCAACAGGAACTGTAGATGAGGAACATATGCTGCAGTCATGGTCTTTTAGTACAAGCCAGCCAGATTATGATTCTTATGAAGATGATCCTGAGAAAAAAATAAACTTAACCAAGACTAAATTATTGGAGGGATTGGGAGTAGGTTTTGGATGTTTGTGTTTGAGTTTAATAGCAATGTTAATCATTTTATTGTGGAAAACAAATAAAAGAAAAGGAGAAGACCTTACTTCAGAAACCACATCTGATCTGGATATGGATGATGAATTCCAAATGAATGCTGGACCTAAGAAGATAAGCTATTATGAGTTGTTGAATGCAACAAACAACTTTGAAGAGACACAAAAGCTTGGCCAAGGTGGTTTTGGTGGTGTCTACAAGGGTTATTTTAAAGATTCAAACTCAACTGCAGCTATAAAGAGGATATCAGCAGATTCAAGACAGGGTATAAAGCAATACTCAGCAGAAGTGAAGATCATTAGTCAATTGAGGCATAGAAATTTGGTGAAACTCAATGATTGGTGCCACAAGAAAAAAGAACTTATCCTAATATACGAATACATGCCTAATGGTAGTTTAGATTTTCATCTTTTCCGAGGAGGAAGCATCTTGTCGTGGATGTTGAGGTATAACATAGCTCATGGGTTGGCCTCAGCATTGCTTTATTTACAGGAAGAATGGGAAAAATGTGTGATTCATAGGGACATAAAATGAAGCAACATAATGTTAGACTCCAACTTCAATACTAAGCTTGGGGATTTCGGTCTAGCTAGACTTATGGATCATGAAAAAGGGTCAGAAACCACAGTTGTTGCTGGAACCAGAGGCTACCTAGCACCTGAATACATGGACACGGGCAAGGCTAGAAAGAAATCTGACATATTCAGTTTTGGGGTTGTTTTGTTGGAGATAGCCTGTGGAAAAAAAGCCATACTCCACCAAGAACTGGAGGGTGAAGTTCCATTAGTTGAGTGGGTCTGGGAGCTATATGGATTGAGAAATCTAACTGTAGCAGTAGATCCAAAGCTATGTGGGGGGTATATGATGTGAAGCAATTAGAATGTCTGCTAATAGTTGGACTTAGGAGTGCTAATCCAGATAACACATCAAGACCATCTATAAAGAAAGTGACTAAGGTACTAAACTTGGAAGCTCCATTACCTATTCTCCCGCAAAATATGCCATTCCTAGGTTCTCTGTCTTTAGATTTACAGGTTAGTTTGAACCTGAAAGTAAACAGAATGTAATAATTAGATTTGATAATTCATATCAAGTATGGAATCTTATGGTTTAGGGGAACTGAATGTTATTACAATGTGGTTTATGAATATTCAACTAACAACAACTATTTTGAAAGTTTTCAATCTGCTAGTGGAAGTTTTGAATCACAATATTCTGAGCTATAGGGTTAACTGGGAAATTGATACTACAATTCATATCTACTTTGAACAGAAACACACATTACATGGTAAATTGATACTACAATTCATATCTACTTTGGAAAGTTCAAGACACATTACATGATTTCATTCTTTTTCTTTCATACACACACGGTGCAGAGCGCCATTCTAACAGAACTCGTTGTGCGTTTAACCAGAGATATCAATGGTCTTGACTTCAGGTTTCTTGACCTCCTGTTTAGGAATGGTGACAGTGAGAACGCCATTCTCCATGTTTGCTTTAACTTGATCCATTTTAGCATTATCCGGTAATCTAAACCTTCTCATGAATTTTCCACTACTTCGCTCCACGCGATGCCATTCATCATTCTTATCTTCCTTCTCAACGTTTCTCTCCCCACTTATCTGAAGAACGCTATCATCTTCAATCTCAACCTTCACTTCTTCCTTCTTCATTCCAGGAAGATCAGCCTTGAACACGTGCGCTTCTGGAGTCTCCTTCCAATCCACACGCGTGCTCACAAATGCTGAATTATTATCAGGAAAGGAATTGGAAAGTGGAAAATCTTTGAATGGATCCCAAACATCAAGAGAGAATGGATCGAAAACGTTGCTCCTTCGTCTTCCTCCATTGAAGAAACTCGGAATCAGCGACATCTTCTCTATAACTTGGCTGATGATAGTTATGAATCTTGGATGGTTTGCAAGGCGATACGCGATGAGGTATTTAAACAAATTACAGTGGCAATCGAGTGATTGCTAGAAAATTCGAAACGTTTGGCAGTTTTGGCAGACAGAAGAAGGTTCTAGGTTTCTAAATGGGGGTAAGTAGAAAGTTCTAGAGATCCTTCTATGAAATCGATCACTCTCAATTTGGCTTGGGCTTTGAAGCCCGCATCCTTTGAATTTGGGCTACAACCAATCCTGTGCGGCATACTGCCACACCACACTTATATCTGCTATTCCATTTTTTTTCACTTTTAAGTTAATGTTCTCACTGTAGTACCGAATTTTTTGAAATTTACAGGTACCTATGGGAAATTTTGCAAATTACATAAAATTTTGTAAATTACTGAAAATTGCAATAAAGTTATTGATTTTTATCTCGAGGATAATGGAATTTTAAAATTTATGATATTGGAATTTTCAAATTTTCAGTGAATAGTTAAAATATATCAAAATTTTTGAAATTTTTGATAAATAAAAAAAAATGTGAAAATTTAAAATTTTCGATAATGCTGTAGTTTATTTTTCCCTTTTTTTTAATTACTTTTTCTTGAAAAATAAAATCGATAAAATAATGAATCGACTTTATATATATATACATAACAAATAAATTACAACGACTTCTGTGATACGGTGGCAGAACCGACTGTTTTGGAAAATGCTGGTTTGCGTTTTGCGTTTGTGTTCGCAAAATGTCGCGGTAAGCAAGAGTCGTCACCGACTTTTATTTTATCCAACTGAAAAGGAAAAAAGCACAGAAAAATTTCTTTTTCGAGATTTTGAGTACGGGGGGGTAGATTATAGAAAGGGAAGGTGTTAGCACCCTTTCTATCAGTGGTTTTCTACGGGCTCTTAGGTACTTGCTCATCTTTTTAAATTGTTTGTGTGTGTTTGTTTTAAAAAGTTTTGTTTTACTTCGTTTTAACCCTTGCTTCTTTCTTCAAGAGTGTTACGAAGTGTTTTTGAAAACTTTGTTTGAAAAGTGTTTGGTGTGAAAAAAGTTTGTTTGTTTGAGCAAGTACCTACTAGCATCTACCTACTCGAAAAAAGATTGTTTATGTTCTCGTTTCCTTTAGACAATGCTACCCTACTATTGAGAAATAGGAAGCACCGTCGTTGGAGTTATAAGAGTCAATTCGAAAGGGACGTACGATCACTAAAGCAATGTTAGGACGTCTTAGTAATAACCCTAACGTCTTAAGATCATATTCGAGGCAACATTTCCGAGGCAATATTTTCGAATGGGACATTCGATCTTTGTTTAGACGGGAGGACAACCACTAAGACACCATATACTTAATGATCGTTTACCGAAGGCAACCGAAGTGAGAGTATACCCTAAGAGTGCGCATGTGCGAGTGTTTTGATTTCAGTTATCATCTTTGCACATTAGGGTTTGCTAGCCATTTTAAATTAACATGCAGTCTTGTCATACAATCCTATTATCATACATCTAACAGTTAATATTTGCGAGAATTAAAATGCGAGAAATAAAAACTACGCTATTACAAGGCTTCGGGGTAGGGATTACATAGCCAAAAACCCGTAAAACGATAAATAAAAGAAAATCCTAATTAAACTATTACATACTGTAAGCAGTTACATTAATATTGCGAAAATGATAAAAACGTGCACGATGAATTAAATGAAAAGGAATTAGGGTTTTGACCCCATCTAAACCTAATTAAAACTTAAAAAGAAAAAACTTTTTTTTTGTTTTTGATTGTTTTGAAAAAATAAGATTTTAATTGAATAAACAAAAAAAACCTAATTACTAATTAGTTTAAACTTAGAAAAATAATTCAATTAACTTATTTTTGTATTTTTTGATTTTGAGAAAGAAAATAAAAATTAAGTCACATGCTAACCCTAATTTTTCTAATTGATTTTAAATATATGAAAAAGTTAGAATTAATCCTAAATTTAATTAAACTAATATTAGATTAAATTTGTTGAAATAAAAAAAACTAATTCTACATTTGTGAAAATTGATTTTATGATTTTTTGTGTAAAAATAAATTAATTTTGTTAGAAAATAATTTAAACAAATTAATTTAAATAAAAGAAATAAATAAAAGAAAGAGAATGGGCCTGGTAGTTTTCAGCAAAAGGGGGGTGAGACTTGCAATTTTGAGCCCAATAACACCTGGCCTGCTTTGACTTTTTCAACCTTGTGTGCACGCTTGACCTATGCACACGGTAGACCCTCACTGAAGGAGCCTTGGATCTAGCTTGTTGATGATATACTGGCTGGGTGTTGATGATGTATGGTGGACTTATGGGACACCTGGGCACCTGATTATGCAAGAAAAAACAATAGAAAGCAAAGTTGGGACCTGGGGATCGAACCCAGGTCCTTGAACATAATCACACTGCATGTTTACCAGCTGAGCTGGCTTGGTTATTTGTATGAATAATAATAAAGAAATATAATATGATAAAACAAAAAAGCAAATCTTAAAACGCGCGCAGATTTGAATGGGCAAGTCAGGGAGTGACACGTTATCCTTCTTCTTCCTCCCACCGTTGCTAAAAGTTTCTTGAATTTTACCTACGGTCACCTGGGTGTAGGTACAACCTTGTGCTTCTCCAAAATTTCATACAGGCATGATAAATCCCAACCAATGGTATCAATCAACTCGTTGCAACCTCACGAGCATCATGGTACCATTATCCATGGCCAATTGTTCCCGTACAGAAAAACCCTAAAAACGAAGCAAGAACCCTAACTATGGAAACTTGTTGTATAGTCACTGAAAACGCAATTAAATATGATCAATAGCTTGCAAATAAATCATGGATTAAGAATATGCTAATAAATCACGTTAAAGATGCCAAAATGATGGTATTCGATTTCAAGAAAATATGAAAACTGTGTGGTACTTACAATGCAATTCTGAACGTGGGAAAGCTTGTTAATGGTTGAAACATGTTCCTGGGATGTCCAGCAAACGTTTGGGATGGTTAGAATGCTTTGAATTGATCTGAAATGTGGAAATCAGTTTGTCACTTTTCTTCAATTTTTTGAAACTTGCTCTCTCTCTTTTACACGCCTCCAATCCATTTGTTTTTTGTCTGAACATGTTCCTTATGTACCTTAGAATAAATTAGGGTTGCAAACTTGTATCAAATCTCCCTCAATTAAGATTATTGATTCATGATTTGATCCTTGTGCAAATCTTTCCAAATCAAGCAAAATGCAATCTTTTTGTATCCATATGAGCCTTGCATGATTTGATCTCACTTCCAGCTGTATAATAGACCTAAACATGCACAAAATCTCAAGATTTGATTAGTTTTGGATATTTTCATTATTTTATTTTGATTTTATTTGATTTAATTGAAATAAAATTAAAATAAATGAAAAAAATAAAAGAATGACAAATGGAATGGATCATGGGTCGTAGGTCACATTACAAACTCAGTGCAAGCATAAAAAGTTGGGCTCATTTGACAAAAAAATGCAATTTTGGCCACTTTTGACTTTTGGCAATTTTGCAAAAAGGGTCAAATTTGCCAATGCATAACTCTCTCAATTTTGACCCTAGAGATGTGTTCTTGGATTTTTTAGAAATCTTAAGATGTCCT